GCTCTTGTCTGCCTGGATAAAATTAAGTGCACCTTGAAAAGAATGATTTTATTTATATCCCACTAGGAGTTTGTAAGATAAATTTTCTCACTTAAAGGCTGTATCAGAAAAATATGGAATAATTATGATTTTATATTCACTTTTGAGTAGATCACAACTGGAATGGTGTTTTCTCTCTGCATCCAAAAGAATTGTTTTTTTAAGTCTTCTTTTGGCTTGGACTTGAGCTTTTCAGCTTTACTTCTGCTATCTTATACATCTAAATTAAAAAACAAAAAAAATCATTCCAAGAAAAGACTGTTTTCCTATGCTAACTGAAAAGAATTAAAAGACTGTATAAAAAAATAAGCCGGGTGTAAATATCTACTCAGATGGTTAAATGCCATTTCTGGCTGGGTTTGGTAGTTAGTTTTCTTGCCTTTCCCCCTTTCGTCCCACTCTCCCCACTCCCCACTTCCCTGCCCTTTATTTACCATAAAATCTTTTGTCTCAAACATCTGGAAATAAATTTTTACTTACAGCTATATCTGCAAATGGGGCATTGTGCTACACAGACAAAATGGAATGGCCAATCCTTTATGACCAGCATTCCTTTGGGAAACTTGATTTAACAGTTGCCCTCAGCTCAATGTTAACAATCTCAAATAATTGCTGTTTTCATCTTTAAGAGCCCTCAGCATTTCCTAGCTATGAAGATGGATCAGTCACCTTCATATGCTTCTGATAGTATTAAGAAAACAGAAAAAGAGAAAAATCTCCTTAGCAAAAGGAATATAAGTGAAGATTGCCATCTCTCTGAACTCACTCGGAGGAAGATAACGTCTATTTTTTATGCATACATCAAACTCTTCATCCTGCTTTTGCACAAGTGAAGCAAGAATTTGGCTTTCTGATTTTATAGTTATTTTATAAAAATTGCACAGCAACAAAGAAAGCCTAGCAGCTGCCTGCTGATGCACACAGCACTGCAGCTCCCAGGGTATCCTGCCAGGCATCTTAGGTGGTTCAGATACTGGCTGATAGTCTCTGAAGACTACACCATACATTTCTGCAAGTACTGAGTATGACCTGGGCAGAGTATTTTTATTCCTCTGCCCACCTCTTTTGTGTGGTTTGTCAGTTGCTATAAAATTTTATGCAATTTTATTGCTGCTGGTTTTCCTGTACTCAATTCCTCTAAGCCACATCTGGAATGTTACATGTCTGCATCTGACAGATTTCTGCTGGCTTTTCAACAGCTTCAGCAAAGTGACATTGGCATAAATACTGTAAAAACGTGGAAGTCCCTTTGCAGAACAAATCATCACAATATGTCTCTATCTGCCACTGAGTCTGAAATGTTAGTACTGATATTTTTTGTCTATGACTATTTTGAGTCAGGAGCTATGCTGTTGTTAACAGGAATTGTGCAATAAGTACATTTTTCATTGTAAATTGCATGCTAAGCCCTGTGCACATGAGCATTTACTTTGAATGTGTTTAAATACAGTTTTGTCTATTTGCACAGACATAGTGACAAGTGCTTTTTGACTGACTCACAGGGTGAGTAAAGTGAATAAAGGTAGTATCCTTGACTCAGTAATCAACAGAAAACCTATATTAATAGACTTTATTAATTGAGCTTCCTAAGGTTTTGTGTCTCACAGTTAAACCACACAAATTCAGATGCACTCCCCCTACTCCTCACCATGCATAATCTTAGTCTCACCAGAAGGGTTGGACTTTTCCCTTCCTCCATGGCAGCATCTCTGGCACTCATCAAGGTCCGTAACACTTTCTGAAAACATCTCTCTCTGACAGTTAAACAATTCTCTTTATAGTACACAAAATGTGTTTCATTTAGTAGGAAAATAAGGAAAATTATTTTTTTGCAATGTATGCCCTGAAGTGAAATATCATCAATAGAAATAGAATGAAAAAGAACTTTAGGTAGATAAGGTAGCAAATATATTTGCATTCACAGTTCTGTATTAGACAAATTTTACAAAAAATCCCCTTGGCTTAATATACTTCAGGAAATTAAACTGAATAAAATTTAGAAATCCCTAAAAGCTCCTATCAGGAGCTGCTGTTTGATGCTGTTGGATCTGGCAAGTAGCAGTAGCAATTCCTACCATCAGCCTTTTTGTCTTAATTTTTCTTTTTTCCCCTTCTCAGGACCTGACAGCCTGTAATGCTGACTGACTCCCACCACCTTGGCACTGCTATGCACTTCTGAAATTTGTGGCAGGTAAAAATGGGAGGATTTTCTATCTTTCCTATTGGTTACCCTAAGAGAAATGGTACAACTTCTCATGCAATAGTGATGTCACAGACATAAATCTGTGTCACAGCCCCAGATGATGAGATAGAAAATTATGGTTATGGCAGGAAATTAAAATGCTCTGAGATTGTTTCCTTTTGAATTAATAACTTTTCACAGTTTCAGTTTTATTTTACATTTCAAAGGCAAAACTTGTTTAACATAAGTGTCAAACTTTTTGCTAAAAAAATATATATGTATCTCAAAATTTTGAACATGTCAGTGGAAAACTGGCAATCATGATAAGGCAAATTGCCAACATTGGCTCATCCAACAAGGACACATCTATGCAGATTATTGAATGAACAGTAGAAGAGGTAAAGATACTTCCATTTATTACCTTATTAATCACAGTGAAATGTTTGCAGTTTCTTGCAAAAAATTAATCTTTCTTCTTGAGAAACACCAGTTCTGTGTCTTGAATTTTTAGATGTCACAGCCCAAAGGTTTTTCCAAGCCATTCCTCAGTGTTAAAACTTTACTAGAATGTTGCAGCAAGGGGCGCAAAAATGTGCATTGATAATATCTTTTCCATATCCATATGGAAATGCAGCATAAAAATTGGACAGAAAAGTGAACTTCCTCTTTATAAGAAGGCCATATGTGCCAACATACACATTCATTTCTTTTGAGACTACAGAAATTAATGCAAGCATTTTACCAATAATCTTTTATTTCTGAAAGTACTACAAAAACTACAGTGGCTCCACTCTGTTTTGGGAATTGTGCATGACCTAAGATGTTGATATGAAGTAACAGCTGATATTAAATAGGTTGTGATTTACCAACCACATTGGGAAATCACAATATTTAATGCTCTGTCAGGAGAAACATGAGAGGGAAGAAAGCATGTATATAATTAGGGAGCTAAACAATGCACACTTTTTGAGAAATAGGACCTACCACATTATGAACTTATCCTGGACAGGAATGAAAATGCACAAGCAAAGATCCTTCCAGTATTATAACACTACAGTGGTTTGCACTGGAGTTTCTCTAAGAACTCTTTCAAATCATTCCATGCTCTGGGACATACAGGAACACTATAAGACCCCAGGTCATAGAAGGAAAAAAAGCAGCACTGGCACAAATGTTCCAGAAATAAGCAAGTAAGACTGTTTCATTTTAGTCTGTATGCAACATTAAGAAAATAAATAAATCTTAAGTGCAGTATTCAGGTGCTAAATCTGGAACTAGATTGTACACAGATGCATTGGCCTAAGGCTAGGGGAACATATTTTTAGTACAAGCAACACAGAAGCCATGGAGCTAATCTGCAGACCTCAATGGGTGAAGCAACTATCCATGGCTTTGGCACATATTCCCCCCTTCTCTGTAGAAGACTGTGTCCAGGACAGATGTAAGCAGGACTTCTTACCTTGGCTATTTCTTTGGCTGTCATGACAGGGCAAGTGGATTCGTGCCACAGATGCCAGGTTCTGA